AAATATGCACTTAGGTCGGATGGTCCACAGTTGGATGAGCAGGTCGGATGGTCCGCAGTCGGATGAGTAGGTCGGATGGTCCGTAGTTGGTTAAACAGGTCGGATGGTTTGCAGTCGGTTGGTCCGCCGTCGAATGGTTCGCAGTCGGGTGGTCCATAGTCGGTTGGCCCGTGGTCGGACCAAATAAAGTTGGGCGAAGATGGAGGTCGGTTGATACGGAGTTCGGACCAAGTGAGGTCGGACGATACGAGGTCGGACAAGAGACTAGATGGTGGTCGCTTGGTTGGGCGGCCAAGGAGTCGTTTGGTCTAGCGATCAGTTAGTCTCTGGATTGGTCGGCTGGGTATGCGGTTGACAAGACGGTTAAAGACACGTGTCATTGAGGAATTAGTGGGCGGTTGCTGTAACCAACCAGACGACGGTTCTGAAACGTTTTCTTGAAGGAATATTTAAGGGTTTGGATTTGTTATCTTCAATCATCTTCAATCGACATCAAATTCAAGAGAATTGCCTTTGGGGATCACCACTTTATTTTTCAGTCTGTAGTTTTATTTTCCTAGTTTATTTATGTATCCTACAATGTCTAGAGATTCCTAATCTCAGGCATTCATTTTATCAAATTCGAAGATAATTTATATTTTCGGATTTTAATTTGTTTTGTTGAAAAAATACATCAACAAATTGGCGACCACAGTGGGAGAAAGGCAAGATTACTGATCCTACGTAAAAAGAGAATTTTATACAACTGAGGTCCGGCCGAATCATCAGAAAGATCAATATGGCAGACTCACAGCCCTGAGTATCTTCAACACCGGTGGGAGAAACAATTTCACCACCTGCTATGCTGAATGCAGGGGACGCACCACAAGTACCTGCCGATTGGATGTCTTATGTTCAACAATTGAACAATCAGCATACTCTGGCTATGCAAAACACGTTGCGTGAGCAACAAAATTTAATGCAGAACATGTTGCGTGAGCAACAAAATCTAATGCAGAACATGTTGGATCAGGCGTTCTCCAAAATCACACTACATTCAAACATGCCTCCAGCCTTGTCACCTTCTCGGTTTCAGGCAACTTTTCCAGGATCAACGTTTGCAGGGCCAACATACGTTGATAGTACATTTCCAAGCGCCACAACTTTCAACCGAACAGATAGGGAAGACTCCTCTAACTTTCCCCGATAATGTTCCTTTGGGACCAAGAGTTGATAATACTCAGCCGAATATCGTAAGGGAAGAGATGTTGGGGGGACAGGATCATAATCCCATCCCAGTCGAGCCAACCGTCCCCAGAGAAGAAAGATTGGGAGATCAGATTCATAATATTCCAGCCGCGCCAGCCTTCGCTAGTGGACTGGTCCATAATCTCATTCCGGTGTTTGACCCACTTCCACCCAGGATAGATCCGGAGGACATCGCTCAAGTTCTGCGGGTACATTTTGGAATGAATCCGCAAACGGTGAACCGACCGGCGTATCAGAGGCCATTTCCAAAGAGAATCATCAATGATTATCCTCTCCCGAGAAATTATTGACCACCAGACTTTCATGTTTTCTCAGGAGAAGACGGATCCTCCACCATAGAACATGTGGGTCGGTTCACAGCACAGTTAGGGGAAATCGGTAATAACCCTTTTTATAAGCTGCAACTATTTTGTTTGTCTCTTACCAGAACAGCTTTTTCGTGGTTTGTAAATCTGCCACCTGGGCAAATACAAACCTGGGAAGGTTTAGAGATGGCGTTCCATGCTATATTCTTCAACCCTTTGCCAACTGTTTCTCTTACCGATTTGTGGGAAATAAAGCAATTTCCAGAAGAATCCGCCTCACAGTTCATCGAAAGGGTACGACTGATGAAGGGACGTTGCCCAACAATCATTGAGGAGAGCGAGATGACCAATTTGGTGGTCAGGAATATGCATACACCACTACGGGAGGCTTTAACAGCTCACGACGTTCAAGATCTGGCCAGTTTAGCATCCAAGGCAAGAAGGTTAGAATCCTTTTTTAGAGAAAATGATCACGACTTCCGTCGGGGGGGGTGTTGAAGAAATGGTAGTGCAAGGTCGACCAACGCGCAGGCCACCATCAGTCTACGATAAATGGAGGTCGGGTCCAACGTAGCCTCGAAAGATGGAGGTCGGATCTGAGGCTGACGTGGCCTCGGATGGCGGCCTGCTAACTCCTAAACATCACAAGAAGTGACGCTTAGGAGTCTTGCGGAGGAGGCAAGTTGTTACGTACAAAATAATAATAATAATAATGATAATGGTAGCAGGGTCAAAAGAAGGTCGGGCGAAGTCGGGAGGAGAAGGAAAAAATATGCACTCAGGTCGGATGGTCTACAATCGGATGAGCAGGTCAGATGGTCCACAGTCGGATGAGCAGGTCGGATGGTCTGCAGTCAGTTAAGCAGGTCGGATGGTCCGCAGTCGGTTAAGAAGGTCAGATGGTTCGCAGTCGGTTGGTCCGCCGTCGGATGGTTCGCAGTCGGGTGGTCCGTAGTCGGTTGACCCGTGGTCGGACCAAATAAAGTTGGGCGAAGACGGAGGTCGGTTGATACGGAGTTCGGACCAAGTGAGGTCGGACGATACGAGGTCGGACAAGAGACCAGATGGTGGTCGCTTGGTTGGGCGGCCAAGGAGTCGTTTGGTCTAGCGATCAGTTAGTCTCTGGATTGATCAGCTGGGTATGCGGTTGGCAAGACGGTTAAAGACACGTGTCATTGAAGGAAGAATTATTGGGCGGTTGCTGTAACCAACCAGGCGACGGTTCTGAAACGTTTTCTTGAAGGAATATTTAAGGGTTTGGATTTGTTATCTTCAATCATCTTCAATCGACATTAAATTCAAGAGAATTGCCTTTGGGGATCACCACTTTATTTTTCAGTCTTTAGTTTTATTTTTCTAGTTTATTTATGTATCCTACAGTGTCTAGAGATTCCTAATCTCAGACATTCATTTTTCTAGTTTATTTATGTATCCTACAGTGTCTAGAGATTCCTAATCTCAAGCATTCATTTTATCAAATTCGAAGATAATTTCTATTTTCGAATTTTACTTTGTTTTGTTGAAAAAATACATCAACAATGTGATTGATCCATTCGTGGTTCAAGTATCTGAAGGAGAATACTTTTTAAATTAAGACTTTTAAGGGGAAAACATACTTGTGCACACATGACAAAAAACTCACAAGCAGACTTCAAGTATTATTTTGTATATTACACATATTTTATGGTTGTTTTCTATGAGAAATACAATGTAGTTGATTTTTATTTTCATATATATTGCGATGAAATAGATTTTTAACACAACATTATGTTTGTGGAATGGTATAGGTATTTGGCGAAAATGATCATGAATTATCTAAAAGATAATCCAAATAAATCCATTGAAAATCCTTGCGAAGAAAAATCAGACGAGATGTTGATGTTGAGGTTAGTAAATTTAAAGTATATCGAAGCAAAACAACATGCCCTTGGTATTAAGTTTGGCCGGGGGTTTACTCAAAGTACACTTTCGGGTAGCGGCAACATGCCCTTGAATTACTTAGAGGAGGTGTTAAGAAACAACATGCAAGACTCTACGAGTATTGCCACACAGGTGTAAAGTGTAATCCACAAAGTTATTGTATTTTACATGTTGATCTAGACTTGAATCCACCAATTCTACGAATGATGCATATGTGTTTGAAACTTTTGAGTAATGGTTTTAAGTCCGGGTATACACCAATTATTGGTTTAGATAGTTATTTTTTGAAAAGTATGTACAAAGGTCAGCTGAAAGTGATAGAAATGACAACATCTACCAATGAGTATTATATTCTAATATTATAATAGAACAAAATAATTTTTTGTTTATTTTATTCACATTCATGCCAATTTTAATTTCTATAACGATTTTGATCTATTTTATTCATAGTTGTATCAATTTTAGTTCTTTTATTTTTAAAATGATAATTTTGATCTTTATCTATTAATATAGTTCAAATTTAGTACTAATTATCATTTTCTTAAAAAATTAACAAATATACTAATTGTATTTGTTGTCATTTTATTTCATCTTTAAATTAATTTATATTATTTGTATTAAAATTGCTCAATTATCACCAAATCTTAAACTAATTATATTATATCTAAACAAATGTGTATAGACATGTTATATTGCCAAAAAGTTCAAATTTTCACTTTTCATCTTTATCTTCATTAGAAAAAAATAAAATTATTTTACAAAAATTATTTTCCTTAAAAGTACCTATCAACAAAAAATGTATATGTCACTACATTTAATATAATGCCTTATCCACAAAAATTTCTTTTCGTTTTCTTATACTTAAAAAAAAAAAAAATAATAATAATCAATTATACAGTTTAGACAAATAATTTTTTAAATTAAGTATTTAAATTTATTTTGAAGCGACTTACCTAAAGAAATATGTACATAAAAATGATTGAAAAAAAATATAAATTAATTTAAATAATAAAAAAATTATACTTTTGGGTGAAAATCATATATTACTTCTATCGAGGAAAAAAAAAGTAAGTTTAAAATTTTTAGACACAAATTTTAATGTTGTGTGCATTTTGTTGTCCTTTAATAAAAAAAGGGAATATAATTTTATTATAAACCTTGTCCTTGTGTCCAAGTAAATAATAGGAGTACTTGAAAATTGAAATAACGCCCAAACAAAATGTATTTGCCCTTCTTTCTTCTTCCATTTCTTTATTCGTATCTTCTTCTTTTATCTTCTTTTCGGTTTTCAAAAATAAAAAATAAAAAACAAAAAAAATGCTGAACCGCGGTTCTAACTGGCAATTTAATGTTCGAAGAAAATACGAAACGAAATCGAACCGGTTTCGATTTCGGTTCGGTGGCGGTTCCGGTTTGAACCTGAAGCACCCGTTTGAACTCGCCACCTAAGTCTAACTCTAACATGAATGTTGATAGAAACTAAAGGGGTAATGTGTAATATTTATTGCCGATTAAATATTCATTTTTAACTCGGTATCGGTAGCACAAAATCTCCGGTCTTCATTCGCTCGCCCAAAATCAGAATCTGCTTCCAATTTCAATTTCAATTTCAGATAGTCGAATTAAAAATTGTGTTTGTTTGACTTCAATGAATTTCGTGTTACGAGGGAGGGTTCTCTGTTTGATATTGTTCTCTTTGTTTTAATTGATTGCTTATGTGAAATTGTGATGTTTTTATGAATCATTGTTCTGGCTTGTATATATATATATATTATGTTGATTAATGAATGAAGTGATAGAGCATGGAATATGGCTAAATGTATAAACGGGGCTGTCAGATTGGGGTTCTGTCCAGTCGGAGTTGACAAAAAATTGTTTAAAGTGTTGCCTACTGTGTCTCTCCAATATGATGCATCTTTTATGATTGATTGAAAAGCTTCGTGCATTAGATTATGACATTATAAGCACAGGACAGAGTGTGTATCTCACACCATTTTCCTGAACTAACATATGCTAACAGTTACAACACATTGCTATCATGTTGCAGCTTGGTTTAATTATTTTAATCATATTCTTATTTCTAACCACTTTATTGTTTAGTGATTCAGCACGTTTAGCAATTTTTCTTATTTTGATATTGTTCCTTTCTTCTCATAATGTCATTGTCAGGATGGAAGGTATCAGATGCATCTATTTATGCTGGTCTAGAGCATGCTTATTTGCTTGGTAGGAGCCAATTTTTGAGAAACAAGGAAGCTGAAATGCTAGGAATTCAAGGAGCAACTTTACTGCTCGATGGAGGTAAATATTTTCCTTTCATACTCTATATCTCTAGGCTTGCAAAAATTGTAGATGTTTTTTGAAGTTTTCTATCTAAAATGTTTGAAATATGTGTAAGTCTAAAATATAGATTCATGAAACCACCAAAAATATCTGCATAATCTGGGTCTCTTTTATGTATATATCATTCCATCCAACCTGATATATTGTTTTCATCATACTGTTTTGGGTGAAATTAGGTATCATGCTAGGCACGTAATTGGAGTTTGTAGGATGAGACATTTCAACATTATTCTGGGATGTTTTTTTTTCCATAATTCCATGAAAAATATTATTAATTAATTTTAGTGGAACACTAATAGCATATAAAACTCAATCTTTTGGGTTGACATTTTTAAGTTTCTTCTTCTTTTCTGTGAATAAAATACATACTAGTATATATCCAATCTATCCCACATGGTACGGCCGATTGAGCTCAATTTTAGCCTCTGTATTTTATTCCACAATTCATGAATCACATATCAGTTAGTCATATTTACCTTAATATTAGATTTCTGAAGTTATTCCGAACTTCTTTGTCGAGGATAATTGCCCCTGCCATGATAAATAGATGATTGAACAGAAAACAGGCTTATGTTGGTTGTGTGGTTCAAGTCACAGAACTTTTGCCTCCTGAATGTGCTTCCTTTTATTATTATTTTCATTTTGCTGCTGCTACAATCTTGTAAATACTTGGCAGCTATTTACAGTTGAATATGGTAGCCAATTTAAGGCTATGAACTAATGATAGGTAGGCAGGATGAAAACTAAATGAAAGGGCCTTTCTGGTGAAGAGATAACAACGTGAAACGCTTTTGTAAGGTTGTGCAACACCTGTATAGTAAATTGTAATACTTTATTTGGGTTTTCATTTTATTTTATTTTATTTTATTTTATATTCTAATTTATCTTATTTTTCCATAATGCTTCACATGCAATCCTGCCATCTAGTTAAAAAAAACCCACTCTCCTTTGCAGCTGGATGTCTGGATGCCTCTGTGTTTCACTGAAGTTGATATTGCTGGAGATAGATACCGAACGACTTCATCATCTCCTTTGAAAGATACTTGGATACAAACATGTTGCGTGACAGGTGCTGATTTTCTCAACTGCAAAGCAGAAAAGTATGACTTGACCGAGGATCAAAAAGATATGATAGGAAATCAGTCTATTTTATTCATGGAGGGATCTTTAATGGCTTCTATGAAATTTGGAAGCAAAATACTTCGTGCAAAACATGGAGCCAAACAGGGAATACTAGTTTTCACTGGATCTTTACATATAGTTTAAGCTATTTTAGGCTCCATCAATGGGTAGGTTAGAGTTTGTTATTTATTTTTTCTGTTCATTAGACGTATGAACTTTACATCAATTAATTAGTCATGCAACGGTAACCTTGAGGTTGTTCATATTGAGCGCTCGAGCTGAAGTTGTAAAGGATTTATTTTTCAATGGATCATCGTGTCATTGGTAGCTTATTCATTAAATGATGGAAGTAATCCCTGCTTGTCAGGCATTTCATTTTGAACTTGGCAAAGTTTCAGTGCAATGCATTTCTTATGGATTTTCATCTTTGTGGTGAGGTAGGGTTAATCAAAAGAGAACTTTATTCCAATAAATGGAATCACATAGGGAAATCAATTTGTTCTGTAACTAAATACCAAACTAATGATTGTCTACCCTAACAATAACATGACTTAGATATGCTCTATATATATACATATATAGGCAGACTCATGGCCAAGCTCAAGACTCATAATTAAGAACTAAATAGGAATTAAAATAATAAGAAATAAAAAAATAATTATCCGGTGTTTCTCCCTCTTCTAGTATAGATTTTGACCTTACCCCACTCTATAACAACTCCATCACCCTTGAAAACCGCCTTGTTCTCAAGGTGGAAGTCGGGAAACCGGAGGCGCAATTCCTCGCATCAACCCAAGTCGAATCCTTGTCCGTTAGTCTGCTTCAACATATCAAATCGAGAGGAATGAGCTTGCCGTCTCGCCTCTACCGCGATCTGTTGGAGCTCGGCGGATCTGACCTCATCTTGTGTCTATCCCTCGACCTCGTCCATCTCTTTAAGCTCGGCCACCCAATTCGTGTTTGGGGTCCACCACACAAGATCGAAGGAATTTGCTGGCACACTTATGCAATGATGTATAAGGCTTCTTGCAACGATAACAAAATCGCTTAGACTCAATTTCCAAAAGGGGACCGACCGGGGGACTGGTCCATCACCGCCTGGTGTCCGCCAATGGAGTTGCTATCTGTGCCTGGTCTACTGTTCCCGGAACCGCTCCCAAGACTAGAGGGACCTGCCGGAGGCGGAGGTCCAGTCTGCGGCCCACCGCTAAGGCGCAAACTCGCAAACTGTTCAGGCGGTTGTCCTGGCTGTTGATATGTCGTGGTGGAACCAACATTGAATTCCCACTCAATGTGCGGCTGATTTGGATAGCTGAATTCAAATCTTTAGGGTCTAGTGTCCTTAGACGATTGCGGATGTTATGCTACAACCCCCATGAAGTATCCGAGGTAGTGCTCATCTGTCAAGCCTGGCACCTGTGTAGCCAAGTGGATGAGTTCGTTGATACACTGATCAATTTCCCTTTTTTGTCGAAGTGTGGCAAGATGCTCGTAGGGACTCCCCACGTAACGATCATCAAAACGAAGTATTAGGGCTTGGGAAATCTCCGCCCAAGTGGCGGCTGGATGGCGAAAATGCTGCCATCGAGACCAATGCAGCTCGCTGTGCCTTCCATGGCGATACGCGCTAATGCAATCTTTAAATCTGATCGCACTTGGTGGAGTTCAAATTATTGTACGGCGCGAGCAACCCAACTAATAAGGCTCCGTCCCATTAAACGGTGGTAGCCTGACTTCCGAAAGGAGCAGAGTGACGAAGCCGCCGTGGCAGGGGGTTAGGCCCCCGAACAGTTGAGAATCCGGTGCGAGTGGGGGCGGCGATGCTGGGGCGCCAGAAATTGCGTCGGTGCTGACCCACTGACGCAGTGGCATCTGCAGCGGCGCTGATGCCGCCTGGCGCTGCCGTAATCGCTGCGAGCTCTGAGTAGCTTAATAGAATGGTGGATACATATATGTTTAAATATATGTTTTACATCACATTCCTTTAGATGATAATTTGAATTAGTTTTCACGTTTTTATTTTCCAATATTTTTTCTTATGGAGTTTCTTGCTACTGTTGGTCTCAGGGAATGAACATGCTTTCAGTCATATTTGCATAATAGAGCATTAAGAAAAAAAACAAAAAATCGTTGGAAAGAAAAAATAGGAAATTAAAACGCCAAACTTGGTATATCCAAGTCATTCTTTGCATAAAAACTGAATCTGCCATTTTTACTAACCTTCGCCTTTTAGCCTAAGATTTTTGGAGCTAACATCTTTGTCTCCACATTTATGTAGTCTTTACTCACTCCAACAAATGCACGCCTATCAACATTTGTGGAGTTTCAGTATGTTGTCTGCATATTCAAAGTAATAGTACTCATGAGACAAGGTTTACTTTCTTTATGTTTTTTTCATTTCATCATTGCCAAACATGCATAAGCAAACTGTATATATATTGACTTGTTATCAACTGTTGATTACCTCTAATTTATAACTTATATGTGGTCCTTTGGAGTTTGCTTGGGTTAGGGTCAGAAAAAAACTATGTTTCACCTCTACTGCACCAGGGCATTGCAAAGGGCAAGTTTACGGTGCTGATACAAATTACTATTACACACAAATAAAAAGTGTGTTGTATAGAAATATGACATGTGCTAAAATCAACTATTGTGTACGTTGTATGAGACTATAGTATGTGCTGTATTTATTTTATATTAACATATACAATGTGTTGTCTGTAGTAATATTGTGTGTTACTTGTAGTAATGGTTGCTCTAATTACTCTACCGAAAACCAATATTCACTCTAGCCGATTTATTTTAATATGATGGTTGTGTTTTTGAGTAGTAGACGTATTTTTATATTTTATTGTCTAATTATAAAATAACTAATTTAAAAATATTATTTTTTCTACCGATATTCTTATTTTATCATCAAATTATTATTTTTACACCAAAAAATAATGACAACATTATCTTTACATTATTTTTAACTACCTATTACAATTAAAATATTATTATATTTTAATCTTCATGCTCAAAAGTAAAATATATCCTTTGTGACTGAATTGAAAAAGTATTATTTAATCTAATAAAATATCACATCAAATCCCTATTATACAACTTCAAATTAAACTAAGCCATGATATTTTATTCAACTCGTTTCTAGAATTTTACAATTTATTTTAAAAGTTTACCTTAAAAAAATTATCCGATCAGCTATTAAAAATCCAAGTTACTATACTTTTATGTTTAATTTATTTGTCTACTATAAAACATAAAATATATTTAAAAAACAATTATTTAGTGTACAATTTAAAAAAATAAAAATTCATTATTAAGCTATTAATCCTATGACTTTAAAAATGTGGAAAAATTGGTTTTCGGCATTCGATTTCCCCATAAATTTTTGTTTTCTTTTTAATAAATAATATTGTAAAATCTAAAAAAATAATTTTATTTGGAAAAATTCATGTAGAACCTTCTAAATTTATATATATTTTTTAAATAGGAATTATTTATTTTAGAAAACAAAAATTCATGTGGCGCTATATGGCTTTATATGTCAGCTCAATCAATTCGATGTTGGAGAACTTATAAATTTTGCTATATCTTAAAATTATAGAACTAATATTTCAATATACTGAGAGTTTATTTATAAGTTTAAAATGATAAAAAGAAAAAATAAAGGACAAAATAATAATTAAACTTTTATTTAATGTTTATTTTTAATAAAAATGTCAAAACAAAATAAACACATGTAAACATTTGGGAGTCAATAGGAGAGTGATAGAGCACTTAATTTGGATTGAATTTCAATGCTCTAAAATGTAATAAATAAATAAATAAATAGTTCAATCACTTGAATTACAATTTCATAACCCTTAGGCTACAATCTCTTAACCGTTGTTATGTGTTTTGTTTGGTTTTGCTAAATCTTTAACACAATAAACAATCTCGTTATTATTGCAACTCCAATATAAGATTTGTTTGCCCAACAATTTTTTTTACGTAATTTGTTCCCAATATATAAAATATGTATAAAGAAATATTATGATCGAAACTTTGATTTTAAGTTCTGTAATTGGTGGATACCAAAAAAAATAAATAAATAATACTAAATAACCATATATTCAAAATATTTGAATTCATACAATATAAAAACTTAAATACTTAATAATGAAATCAACAAACAGGTGGGACACCAAAATCACTATCGGAGTCGCGTCAGTCCTTTCGGACGTTTATCCTCTCGAGCTGTTGCATAATCGTCAGGACGCAACTCTCAAAACGATGAAATCGCACTTCAAGTGTGCTAGCGGATTTTCGTTAGTCGTTGTAGCACCAAGCGTACAACCATCACTGGTGAATGAGCTACTATCCGGTAAAATGATCAAGAATAATTAATAAATATATATAATCTACCAAATTAAACACCACTTTAAGAAAGATCTAAAAAAAAAATGATTGGTGTGAAAAAAAAAAAGAAAATGATTAAGATTTTTCTGTGATTTGAGAAATTTTTTATCTGATATGGAGAAACCTCTCTATGCAAACTGTGATAATATATATATATATTTTTATTTACCATAATAGTTTAAAATTGAACTTCCAATACTAAAAATATCATTTTGACTACTGTTATTTTGATATGCTCGTTGTTATCCTTATGGATGATACAAAAACACAATTATAAACCAAATTAGAGTAAAAATTAATATTGATCCTAATCAATTTTTTTTTTAAAAAAAATGATCACATTTAAAAGTAACTATTAAAATTAGTTTCATAAAAAAAAAAAAAAAAAACATTATCATTTTTAATCTTATTGTTAAAATTTCAACGAAATGATTGTGACTTAACAAAAATTGATGCAACCCTACCTCCATCATATTGATAATATATATATTTCTTTACGACGTTCAAACCTAATACTCTACAAATCAGGTTCGATGAAAAAATTACACTAGGCGAACCATGTGCGACAGGTGACCTGACGCGTCAGAGGTTTGAACCCATGACCTCACGATCACAAGTCCAACCCCTACTGTAATGCCCCGATTTCGGAGTGTATAAAATAATATTATTATAGCAAAAAAATATTTTTATAATATTTTGGGATCAAGAAATTAATATTCTGAAACAAATTTTATTCATATTTTGTATATTGGTTATAATTATGGAGACGATTAAATGGGTAAACATCCATAAAAATAAATATGAAATATAATATATATAATAATAATATAATAATAATAATAAAGGTGATACGATGAAGATAATGTTTATAATAATAATAATAATAATAATAACAACAACAACGTTAATAATAATAG